CAGAACATGTGGCACTCAAGTTTGGTGTGGATAGCAGCCAAATAAAAACGGCAATCCGCACGAAGTTGAACAATGAGGACAAACTATTAAAGAAGAGGCTGGGCATAGGTAAAGCTGAAAACAGAGCTTTCATTGATCAAAGCTTTTGCCATGACGCTGCACTTCTGTCTGAAAATGGAACGATGACCAACGATTCTCAGTTGTAACGTTTTGATTCTGCCTTAATTGTTGGCCACCCGTATTTCATGTTGACAGGTTGACTTTTTAATCCACCTGTATATTTTATTCATTATTGAGTGATTTTATTAGTTAGGTCTTTTTTTAAGACTTTTTAGAATTCTTCCATTTTTGCAGCTGCTGTTGTCTCTCATATGTTCAAAGTGTCATGTTTATCTGGTGACCCAACAGCACTGTCACGTGTTATTGTCAGTGGTTAAAAACAACCAAGTGTTCTTGTTTTATTTGAGGTAGTAAGTGGCAGTTGTCTAAATAATACGTATGTGAAGTCGGCTCTATTTATAATAGTTAAACTTTCAGTCTGCTGGTTTTGAACGAAAATCTTTCAAGGTGGTTATGTTGACCCTGTAGTTCATGACAAAGTGTGCGTTACACCAGGTGATACTGTGTGATACTAGGATAGTTTTTTGGTAGTTGCAAAATATGCTGTAAGTGATAAATAATCGTTACTGCTTCCACACCATCTATTTACATCACTTCTCTGTGTGTTGTGCTTACTTATGTAAGGGCCAATAAACTTTCAGAACTGATACCCTTCTGTTATCTTAACCTGGACCCTTTCTTACGTCAGCACAGTAAAGTACAGCATGCTCCCAAGGGGATTTAAAATGTACAGCAACCAACAGATGTCAGTGCTGAGCCTGGTTTCATGCGTTTCTTTTAGCAAAAGAGTACACTGTTAGGAAATATACATTTTTAAGACATATGATGAACTGGATAAAAAAAAAGCGCTTTAAAGTTGTTAAACAGTGTGACTGGACAGAACAAATCCAACCATTCCTTCAGTGTGTGTGAGTGAGCGTATGTCTGTATGTATATTCTCTCAGAAGCTCTGAAGAGAATAGTGCCACATATAAAGACAGAGGCACAGTGGACAGTGTGTGACAGTCACTGCCACATACTGACTGATGAAAGAGTGTGTGTGTGTGTGTGTGTAAGACGTGGTTAATGTAAGCGGTTGGCAGTTTGATAGAGTCATGTTGTCATGAAAGATGTGAATTGAAGAATCACCAAATGCTGGCTCCTCCCCCTCAGTGCTCAGCCAGCTGTGCAGTGGACACACAGCACATCACCTCTGTCAGTCAGCTCTCCCTGGGGTCCTGTACGAACGCATGTAGGGCTGTTTCTTTGGGAAATGTACAATTTTGTCACTGATTTTCCATATCTTCCTATATATCTCTGTAAAGAACCACAATTATTACAAACCTGAATTGATACAGAGGAGAGGCATCACCATGATTTGGACGTATTCAAATTTACAAAACTGAGACAACTTTTTGGAAGATCTCCAACCACTTTTCAAAAAAGATTTGGTAAGTTTCTTCTTTTTGTATTAAGTAGTTATAGCATTCTCTAAGATGTAACTTTAATAATCAGGATATTAATGTATAAAGGAATATTAATGCATCATCTTTGTGTTTAAAAATTCAAGAAAAATCTTCCACTTACATGTGTTTCAGAATGTGGCAAAAACTGAAGGTAATTTAGACAACAAACATGTTACAAATCTTACCTTAGCATTCCTGGCATCTAGTAGTCTGGTGAACTGTTGACCGTTTTTTGTTATAGTTTGAATTAAATCTATAATAACACAAGAGCTGACTAACAAGGAATGAAGTGATATTACAAACCAGTGGTATCTAAAAGATGCTCTGTAATGCGCATATTAGGAATATATTGACCCCTGCATTGTTCTGTCATCCTTATGATAATATAGAAAAGATTGGAGAAAGACTGAAGTTGCAAAATCCAATACATGTGTTGGTGTTGAATTAATGAACACAAGAGAGTTTAGAAAACACAACAAATGACTTATCATCCTCTTCAGGAGTAAAACCTGGATTTAAATCATGTTGCATATGCTGTAACAGGAACATGATGAACATTAGGACAGCCTTACATAATATGCATGTCAATGTAAATAAACTGGTCCTTCCTGGGGATAAATCGCATCGCAAACGTGGCATGCAAATAGAAGATTACAGCAGGGGAGAGCATCAGTGGTTCAGGCCATTGAGCGAGAACATGTATTAGGACACAACATCATCCACAGTCGTAAGATTGGGACCTGATTATAATTTTTAATCACAAAGCAATACAAAGATACGAACAATTATGCGGAGAAGATGTTTTGTGATTGAGGGTCCAACCTGTCCCAGTAAGAGGTTTCCTCTTTGACGGTGCGCTGCAGGGTGACACCGAACACATACTAATCAATGCAGCCAGTTCCCTGCAGCTGGGCTAAAACAAGCACACTCATTATCTTACATTTCAAAAGGATGGGGATGGATGGAGGAGAGACAGGGTGTCCTCTATGAATTATTCCTATTGATCATGTCTCTCCCTCACTCAAATAAAGAGAGTAATAGAGAGAGCATCCCTTCTATAACATTCTCATAAATAAACATTCATTGATTAACTTCCTAGTTCTCCTTTGCGGAGTGTGTGTGTTCCTTTAATATGAGGCTGCAGTAGGGATCTCTGAATGTTTATATTTGAAACATATTGGAATGAATCCCTCAACATTATGTGCAATAACAAAGAGACCAGAGCTAAGAAAAGGGAATAATTGACTTAAATTCACGGCAGACATAAACACGACACATGAAAGCTGATGTAGTTATGCAGGATGTGTAAATAGGAATATGTTTGCTAACGTGTCAACCATATCATCTAACACTAGATAGATTAAATATACTCTTAATTTGACATACTTTCTTATGCATTGTAATGTTTTAATGGACTTCATTGTCTTTCACACAGGAGTGAAGAGTATTTCATCTGATGCGCTGAAGAATTGTTTGACCTCATTAATGACCAATGGGGGAGTTGGGTTACATACGTGTGCTTTTACTTTAAAACCTGTACTATGAATCATGGAGGAAAACACACCATTTCTGAACGCTGAGTACAATGACAGCACCACCGTTTGGGCTCCGATGCCCTCAGCTTCCAGCAGACAGCTGGGCGTCCTTCCCAACCCGCAGACACGATTCAAGGACCTGACAGGGATATTTTCATGGTGACCCTGAATGTTCTGGCACTTCTAGCCAACACTGCTGTTCTGGTGGTTGTCATAAAAGCCCCTCATCTCAGGAAATTTGCTTTTGTGTTCCACCTGTGTGCAGTGGACCTGCTGTGTGCCATCCTCCTCATGCCTCTTGAGATTGTGTCCAGCTCTCCGTACTTTGCTGGTGTGGTGTTCACTGTCCTGGTGTGCCAGGTCTACGTCTTCCTCAATGTTTTCCTCATAGCTGCCTCTATCTTCACCATCACAGCCATTAGTGTGGAGCGTTACTACTACAATCGTCCATCCAATGCGCTATGAGGTCAAGATGACGCTGAAGCTGACTGCGTCCGTGATAGTGATGGTGTGGGTGGCCTCTGCTGTGCTGGGGCTGTCCACCGTGTTTGGGTGGCCATCTTACAGCAGCCTGAGCTCCATTAGTGCCTCACACTGCTCGCTGCACTGGAGCCACAGTAACCACAGACGAGTCTTCTCTGTGTTCTTCAGTGTCACCTGTTTTTGCCTTCCTGCTATTGTGATCTTTGCAGTCTACTGTAATGTGTACAAGGTGGCCCGTGTGGCTGCCCGCCAGCATGGACCTCTGCCCTTGTGGACTAACAGTCAAGCAAAGCATCGCTCTGACTCAATAAACAGCCAGACTACCATCATCACAACCCGCAACGCCCCACGTAGGATTATGAGAGACCGGCCTTTTGGTGGAGGTAAAGCAGCTCTCACCCTGGTGGTTATTGTTGGCCAGTTTCTGATCTGCTGGCTGCCTTACTTTGCCTTTCACATCCATCTGACGCTACACGCGACACCCAAGATTCCTGATGATTTGGAGGAAACGGTCACCTGGCTGGCATACACTTCCTTTGCGATCAACCCGTTTTTTTATGGGCTTCTTAACAGGCAGATCAGGGAGGAACTTTGTAAGCTGAGGCGCTGCTACACCGCCCGCCCAGTGGAGCTGGCCATCTCCAGCCATGAGGGCTCAGGCAACGAGAACTTCCTGCAGTTCCTCCATAGGACCAGCTGCACAGCAGAGACACGTGCCAGCTTTGCTACTTCCAGTCCAAGAAGCACTCTGGATCATGGGCAGGACCGGTTTTAGGATACCAGGGCAGATCCCAGAAGAGTTCAGTTAGATATACCTCGCTGTTGTGCCACAGCCGTTAGTAGCAAGGCCACTTCATACAGTGTGTAATATTGTGTGTACTATATCTGTAAAGTGTATCTGAATACAGTAAAAGATCATTTACAGCATCAAGAAATGAACTGTTTATGAAACTTGACATACTGTTTATAGATACTACTATTCATACTAATGGACATTACTTCTCAAAGTATCTTTACTTTACTTGTGGTAAAACTATTATCGATAAATTAATTAATTAATTAATCTGATAAGGAACCCTGTGTTTTTACTAGCTACTAGAGAAAAGTCACTTTTTATTTTCAATCATTGCATCTATATAATTAAAGTAATGAGCACAAATATCTGGATTACTTGAATGTTGAGTGAGCAGTCATTCATATTTCTGAAGTTCCTACATTATTTTTTCATAGGGTCTCAATATGACAGCAGTTTTTATTTTTGTATTTAGTAATTCAGTGCTGTACGTGGTATTTATGTTGCACGGATTTGTGTAAACTTTATTTATTGTACTCAAAGAAAAAATGCATTGTTTCTTATTGCTATAATTCTGCAAATAAACAGTGGTTACTTTCATCCTTTATGGAAATGTGAGTAAGAAACCAAATATTCATAATATGCATTATTAGCAAACATTATGTTTGTCTTCTTACCACATTAGTCTGTACTTAATAGATTAATAATGGGCAAGAATCACATATGTCTGGCCAGTCATTCTTGTCAATAGGTTTTTTTAATTTTTTAAATCAAATAATGTATTTTTTGACAGCAGAGGAAAATTAATTTACTGGGTTTATTTATTATTATTAACAGTAGAGGGGCAGTCTGGTGATTAAACTGTCCTGGAGATCAACAGCCAAGTAAACAAGTAACACTCTACTCTCTTTCTGATCTAAAAGAACACTATCAGGAGTCTTCTGCAGTCACACATGTGCACCTTTCCTGTGTATTTTTGACATTGACAGCTTTGACATCTGTGTGGTCTGCATGTCCATTTATGAAAAGCTTGTTACTAAGACTTAACGCCGTAAACACATGATTATATAAAGAGAAAAGGCTGTTTCATAACAGCTGTCGTGGCTGTCTCTAATACCCTCTAAATATATGTTCACTGGCAGATAAACAGTTATTTATGTTCCCATACACTTAATTATGAATATGACCTACTTCTCAAATAGAGTGCAATGATGGTATATCCAATGTGCTATAAGGATCAACATTGATGGAGTTCACTGACCAATCAAGAAAGGCAGATTATACAATGTTCATATATCCTTGATTTATATTTGGTGCAGCTCTCCAAAATAAGATTAGATTTAAGGGATTACATTGGATAACACACTGATTAATGGGGACAAATAAAAACAAGCATGCTGAGCTGTCACAAACCCAAACACCATAAATATAAATCAGCAAAAAAGTTGATTAAATGGAAAAAAAGTGTTGAAATAACTCAGGCAGTGAAGAAATAAATAACATTGAGAGGAGTGAGATAAGCCTGTGTACTGACAGGCAGGAAATAAGGTAGACTGGATATGTTAAGTCAAGATAACACGGTGCCATTTTATGTTTTCTGGTTGGCAACACATTCACACATGTTGCAGTTTATTGCATAACATAGTTCATAACAAGTAGGGAGCAACGACCTGCAAATATGATACTACTGACTTACAGATACAAATGCATACATGACATCATTGTTAGAAGATGTTGTTGGGATGGAAAGTAAATACAAATCTTGCTCTGTATTTATTTCTCAGAATGAAAAGGTACTAAATATGTCTGGCTGATTTTTTGTGTAATTCTTAAAAAGGCATCTATAATATTTTCATTTGATGGTGTAGTTTTGTCTTTCAGTGTTTCACTCAGCGTGAACAATATAGCTTAATTTTCCAACATTAAAATCATGAAAGGGGTTATTCCAGGTGTTTCAACTGTTCAAACTGTTCAAACTAATTGTATATGTTTTCGGCCCTTTTTCTTCTTAATACATTTAAATGTGTACACTTTATTAATCAATCTTTTGAAAATGATACCTTACGTAACGAAGTTACACTTTACGTGTAATACAAGATGTGATAAAGATAATAAATACATTTCAAAGGACCTGTTTCATCACCCAGCTTCCAAACTGAATTAACATTTGAGCCTAAGCAGTGTTTATAAGTTGCTAATTAAAGTGAAGGACCTTCCATCTCAGAGGCAGCTTCTGTTTAATCAAAACAATCACATCACTGTACTTCTGCAAAGCATATTCATTGTAGATCAAACACGAGCCCACTGGTTTGAGCCTGGCCAAGTGGGGTCTGTTGTTCAGATGTGTTCAGATGGTAAATCTGAAAAGACTTGATGTTTTTCTGTTTCCTGAAGATTGTGCTGTCTGTTTGATAGTGATAATGAAAGAACCACCCCTGAAGAATCAAAGGGAGGAAGTGTGATTGATGGTGCTGCCGGAGAGAGTGAACCACATTATTTCATCAGACTTTCCCTTTAACGACAACTGCATGACTTCTCTCAGACCTGTGCACATATAATAGGAAAGCTGCAGTCTACACATAGCTTCATGCTGCACAACATGCTCAGGTCCCACAAAGTAACAAGACACACAGGCATATCATAGGCCCTTTGCAAAAAACTCCTTAAAAGAATAGGTTAATAGACATTTTGAAAATAGGATTCTTTGCTTACAAATTATGCAATTGTTTTTTATTTCTTTATAATAATAATACATTGGATTTACATAGCGTCTTTCAAGAAACCCAAGGACGCTTTATAATAGGAGGAGGGGCCGTGGGGGGGACAAAAAGGAAAACAAATAAGAAGATAAAAACTGAAATTAACAAAGGCTGGTCAAAAAAATGTAGAGGAGAGAGTTAACTGTGGCTGAAAGCCTTGACAAACAGATGTGTTTTGAGTGCTTTTTTGAATCAACAGTCAGCAGTATTGCAAGACAAGATACAAATACATTTCCATGCAAAAGTGTTTGTATCTCAACAAATTGGATTGTAATATTTGTTATAAGAAGTATTTCTATTCAAAATGGAGCCTGAGATGCTGAAACCTATTCATTGTCGCAGGAATTCCTGTCCAATAACTTATCTTCTATACCTCTCCAACATCATGTAGCGTCTCAGAGTAATCATGATAACCACTCTCTCTTACACACACACTCTCCGCTGACCTCACCTGTTCAGCCTCGGTCACAAACAAAGCCCATCTGGCGAGGTGTGCAGTCCATTAGCATACCACAGTCTCCGGCACAGACACAGGGAACTCTCTGTCATCCATACGCTGTGTTCCAACCCGTCTTCATCCAGCAGGCAGAAATTGTCATTACCATGGAGACTATGGTCAATCATCGCGGAGTAACTCACTCACAACAGGTGTTCAGGTGTTCTTAGTAATGTACTATGTGCAGTATTTATTCAACCTTTACGATTAAAAGACATTTCCATGTTGTTTGCTTCCCTTAGTAATGCATAGGTCAAACACTTGGATGCATGACTCTTAAGATCAACAGCGTCATCATTTAATCAACATACTTGACGTACACAGATTATTGGAGATGAATGTTCCGACTGGATAGTAGGTACTTTTTATATCTGCATTGTTGTCACTTTGCCAGCTGTTATGATCTTAGGTCAATATGTGGCAGTGTAGATGATGATGTGAGCAGTTTGATCTTGTGAAGAAGGTCTGGTAGGTGGTTGAGTGACTGATAAGATCTATCTGAGGATTCATAGCTGACCTATTAATAGCAGAAAAGGCCGTTAATGGGTCCAAAGGTTGACAGAGGTGAACGGTTTTTTTCTTAAAAGCATGTTGCGAAATGTGTTTTACACCTGAGTGCAGAGAGCTGAGAATGTTCTTCATATACAGGCTCTTATGGAGGATACTCTGGTAACATGCATTATATCTAATGTTGTTAGCACAGTGATTCATGCTGTTAGTGAACAGGAACAAGTAAAGCAAGGCAGGGAATGACCCTCAGCTGAACAATTGACTGGTTTCTGTAGGGGACAGCATAAAACCAATTTAAAATATGGATTTTGGTCATAAAGATGCATATTGCAATATGGCAGGTCAACGGCATGTCATGTCAGTTTCAAGAAAACAGTACATGCATCGATTTTTGTGATTGAACATTGTTTATCTCTGTTAAGGTTGAGTGAAACCTTATGCAGAATAAACAAAAAAAATACCTTTATTTCAAGGTGTTTAAGGAACAAACAGAAAACGAACCTGTGAACACAGTCAAAGACAAACAATGAACCAACAACGACAGACAGAAAAACTAGAACTTAAATACACACAAGACTAATCACACAAACAAGACACAGGTGAGGAGGGAGGAGAAAACACAGGGACACCAGTAAACACAATCGGGTAATCAGGTAGGAGGGAAACAGACAGACAGCAACAGGCAAGTCAGGGGGTGAACACTTTTCAAAATAAAACATGAAACCAAAGACAGAAAAAGACAAAACGCAACACAGACAGATCGTGACAATCTCCCTGTGTTCATGGTCATGATTCATGTTACTTTTGCCAGTTCTGCGGCTCAAATATCCCCTTTATTCTACATCTTAACAGAAAACCAGCAATGAAGTCATTAAAATGTCAAATAATTTGTGGTTTTCAAAGTTTAAATGTGTCATACTATTGTGAGATATTGCATTTGTTCAGGCACATCTGATTGCACTTCAGAATACACTTAATCTCCCTCACAGGCCAGAGGGAGGCAGTATTGCCTCGCAAGTCAAACCATTTCTGACACAAAGAAACTCATCTACATTAAATAATGAGATAAGTAGACAATAAGTAGAGGAATAAAAGTCACAAAGTCCTGTTTACCTGTATCATTAATTACTCCAGTTGGTAGTCACAGAATGTGGCCTTCAAAGATAGCTTTTACTATGTGTGTGTGTGTGTGTGTGTGTGTGTGTGTGTGTGTGTGTGTGTGTGTGTGTGTGTGTGTGTGTGTGTGTGTGTGTGTGTGTGTGTGTGTGTGTGTGTGTGTGTGTGGCGCGCGCGTGTGTGTGTGTGTGTGTGTGTGTGTGTGGCGCGCGTGCGTGCGTGTGTGTGTGTGTGTGTGTGTGTGTGTGTGTGTGTGCGCGTGCGTGCGTGCGTGCGTGTGTGTGTGTGTGTGTGTGTGTGTGTGTGTACAGAGCCATCTCCATGCTTACAGTATTTATATCCCACCCTATCCGTCCTATCCCTCCCTCTGCACAGGAGAAAATGATCCTGGCAGACCATCTGCAAATACCATGCAGGGCACCGTAATGTTCCCAATATAACCTCAATGTTGCAAGCACAGCCAGCTGAGGGGTCCTGTCGGCGGACACAGTGAGCTGTAAGGGAAGTGACAATCACTAAGTCTCTGGATTGTGTTTTCTTTACGGGTTTCGATGCTCAGGATGATGAAAGGGAAAGATTCAGAGGAAGTAGAGATTGACTTGGAGGACTCCAGTGACTCTGAATCTGATAACGGGGAGGAACCTGAGATGCTGTGGAAAGCCCCTCCTGCTCACGAAGAAGAAGAAGACATTCATACCACCACACTGGTGGAAATCAGTGATACTAAGCCTCTGATTATGTCA